ATAAAAAAAATAATTACAACATTTTGTGGATATATAAATACACATATAATTTTTAAACAATAAATAGTTATACAATATTATATAAACTTAAAAATATAAAATTTAGAGTTTGTAGCATCATGAGAATTTGAGAAGCTATGTAATTGTTTCAGGCTCCAAAGTAAATCTTGTTCGTGGCATCGCGTTTGGTGTGAGAGTTTGTGTTGGCTGATTGACTTCTGGACGCTTTACCTGCTTTATTTTCCATATCATCCATATGATGGCTCCAACGACAAGAATTAGGGTTATGGAATTAATTGCGTAGTGGTGCATGCTGTCCGTCTGTAGTTTGTGTGGTAATTCAGCGAATTTTTCATCTTTCAGAGTATTGTGAAGTAGCTTTAACTGTTTAAGTTCATTGCTGAGATTCAATGAACTTCCTTTAAATTTTGACCATAATTCTGAGTTATTGATGACAGGTATCTCACCAAATGCAATGTAAGATTCATACATGGTGTCGGTAAGCGTTTGATGTGTCTGAATTGTAGACGTTTGGTGTTTGAGTACACAGTCGTCTTGTAATTTCAGCAGTGTTGCACCTTGTAGTTCTAAATGAGTCGTGATGCCTTTACAGACGGCCGTAACTGTTGTATTGTTTTTTGACCCGAATATTCATTGGTTCGCATGATACAGGGGACTCCAAATAATGTTCGATTTTGTTTCCTGCACATTACACGTATTGTCAGATATGTTTTTTAATAGGTTAAATTCGCAAGCGTAAACCTGTGAGCCGGTGTTATATTTTGATTGTTTATCTGAACAAAGTAGTTTGTTTTCTGGTTGCTTGAAAATCATACACTCCTTATACTGTTCACGAGTTAAGGCAAAATATTGGTCTCTATGCGGCGTGGCAGCTAAAAATGAAGCTTCTGGAACTCTTGTCATCATTGTATTGTTGACTGTTGCAGGAATTGGGACGAGATTGAATAAATCGAAATCCTCATGATCGGTTAATGGCAGTTGTAAGACAACTATCAAATGATCTTGTGTGATTCCACTTTGTGAAGACATCAACGTGTATAAATGAATAACATCCTCTTGATTAAATGGAAGACGAAGTGAATGAGGTAAATGGCCCTTGATCTTCATGATTTGGTTTTGAAGTTGTTGTGGAGACATCAAAAGAGAATTAATTCTGCCATGCTGAGTATCAGTTAAGACATCAAATATCGCAGCTTCAATTTTCATTAATGTATGTGCCATCCATGTAAGTTGGGTTACCAGTGATGTATAGATCTCTAGGTGGTTAATACGTTTAGTATTATGATTAGTGTGATCTACTATTTTGTTTGTCTCATCTTGTAGTTGATTCAGTTTGACTGCAATGGCTTCTGTAGTTTTGCTGAATATATTTAGAGTTGAGTCCATGACTGTAGTCTGATTCTTGATCATTTTTGATAGTACATCTTCATTATTGTTGATTTGAGTTAGAGTTTTAGAAATCGTTTCAGCATATTCTGAATCTAAAACACCAAATAATTTGTTAGCAATATTTCCAACTATATTGATGGCTCCTCTGGCTGATCGGTGTCTCGTCATGACCTTCGTTTCAGTTCGTAACTCTATGTTAGTATTATTGAATTGACGGACGAGCTCATAACAGCTTTCTTGATGCTGTAACAATGGGCACAATTGCTAAAGTGCTGCTGTGCCATTTTGAAACCTTTCGATCTCCTGGTGTAAGCGCTGTTAGATCATTTGGATCGGATGACATTTTTGTTATTGGCCTTGAATTTAACATGGCTTCTATTTCAGTTATGACTGTTGTCAATTCCTCATAAGTCAATGAAGCGTTGAAAATTCCTTTAATCATTAAATGTTTAGCTGACTTGACGGCAGCTTCCCAGAGTCCTCCAAAATGAGGAGCTCTTGGTGGAATGAATTTGAAGTCAATTCCCTTGTTACTACTGGTCTTAATGATCTTTTCTTTTCCATTTTCTGAATAAATGGTAGACTGGAGCTCTTGTAGTTGGTTTCTCGCCCCAACAAAGTTAGTCGCATTGTCACTATAAATTGTTTGGCATCTTCCTCTTCTGCTGATAAAACGTTGAATAGCGGCTATGAATGCCTCTGTTGTCAGGTCACTCACCACTTCTAGGTGAACAGCCTTAGTCGCGAAACAGCAAAATACTGCTAAATATGCCTTTATTGGCCTTTTTCCTCTAATTTTATAATGAATCCATATCGGGCCACAGTAATCAACTCCTGTGGTAAAAAACGGTTTAGTCAGAGTAACTCGATCAGTCGGTAAGTTGCCCATGAGTTGGTCCATCAGTTTTGGTTTTGCCTTTGAACAGATGACACAGCTGTGAACAATGTTTCGCGCCATAATCTTTCCTTTAATCGGCCAGAAGTTTTGTCTCATTATGCTTAGCAATAATTGTGGAGCACAATGGGAATTTTCTTCATGTTTCATTTTGAACATCAATTTCACTATTGAGTGATTGTAAGGAATTACCATTGGGTGTTTAGCATCATATGGCAATGTTGATGCTTCAAGCCTTCCTCCAACACGAAGTACACCTTGTTCGTCAATGAACGGTGCTAAAGTATTTAGTTGACTCGAACTGTTGACTGCTTTACATTGTTTTAAATCAGAGATTTCCTTTGCAAATTCTGAGCCCTGAATAGTTTTAATTATGAAGACTAATGCATCTCGTAATTCCTTTGGAGAAAGTGTTCTTGTTGGTGATTGTGTGCGATGAAATACACGGCGAACATAAGCAATTGTTCTTTGGAGGTATCTGAATGAGTTTCGATGATCAATTTGATTTATCATGTGATCAGAACCAGTCGTTTGAATGATAATGTTAACTGTATGTCCTTGTCGTCTTTCGATATCAGTTGAGATGTTAAATGCCTTTGGGTTTGGCTGTTGCCAAAATTCGTTGCTTCCATGAAGAAAGAGTGGACCAAAAAACCACATATGTGAATAATTGAACATTTTAACCTTTATTCCTCTGGAAATGATGTCAGCAGGATTATCCTTTGACGCCACATGATGCCATTGATCAGCATGTGACATCTCTTGAATTTTGCTAATACGATTTGTTACGAATGTGTGCAATGAGGCAGATGAAGATATTATCCATGACAAAACAATTTTGGAATCGGACCAAAAGTAGGTTGGCACGTTTTGATACTTTAAATCTTGTTTAACTCTTTCTGCTAATTCGACTCCCAGCAATGCTGCGCAGAGTTCTAGTCGTGGAAGTGTCTGTTTCTTTAATGGTGCTATTCTAGATTTGGCGCACAATAGTCTCGATGTTATTGTCTTATCATTATATATTGCTCGCACGTACATAGCTGCTCCATATGCCTTCTCTGATGCATCCGTAAACACGTGTAATTGAATCGAACAGGGAACCGTCGAATTAAAAATATGTCTGGGTACTTTCACAGTATTTAATGTTTGTAAGTCATTTCTAAAACGCTTCCATTCTAGCTGAGCCTGAGGTAACAGTTCCGCATCCCAGGAATAGTTTTGTTGCCACAATTCCTGCATGAATATTTTAGCTGTTACAGTAATGGGGCCAAAAATTCCCAAAGGATCAAAAATTCGAGCTAAGTCCGATGACATCTCTGCCTTACCGCAAAATTCGTCTGATTTCGGGAGCCAAATAATGCCTAATGTTTTTGTTGGCTTTATGGCTGAGTCATCTAAATCAAGGTTGATTTCTTGGTCTTCTATCGGAATGTTTTGTAGGAGTCGTGTATTATTTGAGCACCATTTTCTCAGCTTAAATCCTGATTTACTGAGCAGTTCCGTAAGTTGTTGTTGAGTGTCTAAGGCGGTAATGATGCTGTTAGTTCCGCTTAAACAGTCATCTACATAAAAATCATTAAGTAATGCAGGTGCTCCAAGCGGATAGTTGGTCATATTATGTTTCGCAAGGTGTTGAAGACATTTTGTTGCAAGATAAGGGGCTGACTTTGTTCCATATGTAACCGTTTTCAGTCGGTAATATTAGCTGTGTTTCAGCAAACATGATCCGCTCAATGATCTGAATCATCTTTGCTGAAACGATACGGATCACGTTTGAAAATAATTGGCAACGCATGAAATATGCCAGTTGGGTTTGTGTACAAAATTTTTTGATTTATGTGAATAATTTTGGCGCTAAAAAAATAAGTGAGAAAATTTTGAATACAAAAAATCTAAAACTTGGAAAATAAATAAAATCTGTTGAAATGTCTGAAGTATGAAATGTAAGTTTTTATTTAGTATTTACTTAAAAACTTAAATTTAATTCTATAGTAAATAAATGGAAATTGCAGATTTTATTAGAATTATCGAGCAAAACTGACTCCTCCATTTTCTTTTTAAACACTAGTCCAAGTGTATTAAGGTCAAGGGATGAAGTGCATCAGCATGCATATAGTGGAAATTTTATGGAAACGATCAATAATTGTTCCGTTAAAGATTATTTGATTGATATTTGCGCATAACAAATACAATTGCTATATATTAATTATGATTCATATTTTAATAGATTTGTTAATAAAATCCAATTAGCAAATACAAAATAACCGTGGTCACAATTGAACTAGAGCAATGAAGGAAATTTACATATTTTTGTGGTATATGGCAAATATGAATACTTTTTGCGAATTTGGTATTTGTTTTGGCATACCAAGAGCTTCTGTATGGAGGATAATTGAAAGAACTAGTGTTTAGCTTATATCAATTGGACACTAATTTATTAAATACGCACTTGTTAATAATGCAAAAGTGGAAACTTCAAAAAAAATCCCGTTCGTAATTGGTTGCATAGACAGTACACATGTAAAAATAAATGCACCACACCATAGCAAATAGGTTTATTTCAAAAGAAAGCATGACTATAGCTTAATCTTGCAGATAGTTTGCGATGAAAATGGTTTTTTTATAAACGTTTATGTTGGAGAGCCTGGATCCTTATGTATTGTTCTGTTTTAATTAAATAAATGTATTCAACTTAATTTCATTTCATTTCAAATTAATTGATTTTAATAAATTATCAAACAACACTTTTTCAATAATAATAAAACGTAAATAAATAAGGTAACAATTTTAATTATAGTAATAGTTAAAACATTATTTTAAACAAAGAAATAAATAATAACGACATATTAAATAAATAAGTACATAAAATAAATAATAAATAAATAAAATCAATAATAAATAAATATATTTGTTTATAATTTTACTGCACCGTTGCATCGCATTGCCAACCTCATTTGCATTAAAATACGTTCCACTTTTATCTTTTACACACATTCCACATTGAACCAGAAAGTGAACCAGATCAATTGCTGGTTCACCCCATTGTTTTTGTTTTGCATGTAAAATTGAGCGGATCATGTTTGCTGAAACGCAGCTATTGTATACTATCATCAGCACTTTTTCTCCAGATTATCAGCTGTTGTGCTGTATCTTCATCATGTACTTGAATTTGCCGGTACATTTTCTCAATATCGGCCGTAAATACAAACCGGTGTATTCTAAAACGCAACAGTATTGAAAAAAGATCACTTTGCACTGTTGGACCTTTGTGCAAAATATCGTTTAGTGCTAAACCGCTTGATGTTTTTGCTGATGCATCAAAGACAACTCTCAATTTGGTTGTAGTGCTGTCAGGTTTCAAGACACAATGATGAGGAATGAAATATTGTGTTCCTTTGACATCTTTCGGGCAAACTTTTTCCATGTGACCTAATGACTCGTAGTCATCCATGAACTTTATGTACTCCTTGTATAAATTTGGGTCCCTTTGTAACTTCCTTTCCAGAGAACAAAATCGATTGAATGCTATCTCACGCGATCTACCCAGTGTTGTGGGATCATCGCGGAAAGGTAAGCGTACAATGAAACGACCATCGTGATTTGTCTTTACATGATTTGTAAAGTGATTTTCACACCATTTCTCAGATAAAGTCAAAACCCTTTCTGCAGTCTCAATGTTATCTAATTTCCAAAATCGTTCTATCATTTCTGACATTTCACCAACTTCTCCTGTAGTAATAGCGCATGTTGGTTTAATATCTGTTGTAGTTTTAGTCTTACCAACCACCAACCAACCTAGAACCGAATTTTGTAACAGTGGCGAATTCTTTCCTATTATCAATTGTTCTGGTTGAAGTAGAGTATGATAGAATTCAGCACAAATCAGCATGTCAATTCTTCCAGATCTGTTAAAGCTGGGGTCTGCTAATTCTACATTCTGTGGGATCTGCCAATCCGAGATATCTAGGTCTCGTGACGGTTGTGCTGATATTATTTGTGGCAATACAAATGCCTCTAGTCTCGTCCTGAAGCTTCCATTAGTAGCCTGCAGTTCAACATTTACGCGAGATTTTGAGTTTCCGAATTGACGGCCAATACCTTCGATCGATAGATTTGAATTTGTGGTAATTAAAGATAACTTGTTGATTACTCTTTGGGTTACTAGGTTCACTTGAGACCCTGAGTCGAGTATGGCACGAACATCACACGTTCGTCCATTGTTTGCAATAATGCGCACCTTTGCAGTGGCTAGCAGAACGTAATTACGAGTACACTTTGCATTAGTTGTTGCTGTTATGGATGGCGATTCATTAGCGTTGATCAATGTTGTGGTTGACTTTGTGTTTGTTGCTGGTGCCCTTGAAGGTTTAGGTGACTGTTGCTCTAAATGGAGCAAAGTGTTATGCTTCTTGGCACATTTTTTACATGATCCAGCTTCACAAACCTTTGCTTTATGATCGGATTTGAAACAATTCACACATAGTTTTTGTCGTTGAATCCAATTTAATCGTTCAGGAGGAGTCATTTCAATGGAGGAGTCGGATGTTTATCTGTATTACAAACTTTACATAGATCTGAACAAACCATAGTTACGGCTATCCTTTTGTTGGGTTTATATACTGCATTGTCTCGTAGACCTATAGCCTCAAGTGACTGAAATCTCAATTCTAAAAATTCTAAGAATTGTTTTATTGTGGGCATCTCCTTTGGGTTAGTAAGAGTTTGTTCAAAACTGCAATGTGTATTTTTATCCAATTTTTTTAATAGTATGTGAACTAAAATTGGATCCCAAGTTGATGTTTCAATATTTAAATTATGAAGTTCACATAGACTTTCCTTTGTTGTGTCATGCATATTTTTAATGGCTTGGACTGTTGGATGGGCATATAAAGAGTTTTGAGCTGTCAAACGTTGCAAAACTGCTGATACTAGAACTCTTTTATTCTCATATCTACTTTGTAGTAATTGCCATGCCGTCTCATAATTTGCATCTGATATTTGCAAATGCTTGATGAGTGCTTCAGCTTCGCCTTGAATATTGGTTTTCAAATACCAGAGTTTCTGTGAGTCTGATATTCTTTGATTGTGTATTAGTTGTGCAAACAGATCACTGAATTGTCGCCAACTCAAATAATCTCCACTGAACTTTGGAAGAGATATTGTTGGCAAAGTAGCCGATGATTGGTAAGTTGACCTAATTGATGTCTCAATCTTGGTCGACTTACTAGTCCATTCCACCATTGTATCTTGCACCAACTGTTCAAGTGCTAGATAATGATTGCAATCAGAAGGGTTGTCTTGCCGTTCCTGAATAGTAAAATTTAAACCTTCAGCCTGATCCCATAACTTGGTAAGCGTAGCTAATTTTACTGCAAAATATTGTGGTACCTGTTGCTGGTTATCTTGTCTCACATTGTGGATGAGACGATTGATTGATTTACACACTGCATTTCGTCTGTTGACTAATGCCTGAATAATTTCATTCTCTTGACCACCAGTAGGTAATACTATTTCAGGAGCTTCAACATCATTATTTATCTGAAGATCCAACCCCTTTATTGTTGATGGTTGAGCCTTAATGGGTAATGCTTCCAGCTCTTGAGTTATTGTGGTGATATATTTGTTACCCAAATTTATGATTACCATGCCGTAATCTTGTGTGAAATAGTCCGATGTTCTTGCTAGTACATCGGCTTGTTGTAGTTGCTCATCATTAGCCTTGAAGTCAGCTAATAACTGTTCTAAAGTTGTTTTACGATCTTCGAGATATTGACGTGTTTTCCTGCTGGGTGAGTCCTTCTGGAAGTTGCGAATGATTCTGTCGATCTCTGAACCAATTGAATCCTGCTGGTCAGTTAAAGTGGATATTGATTTTGGATCCATGGTTATTGAATTTCCGTTGAAACAAGTTGTTTTCAATGAAGGTTTTTTGTAAACGCTGCTGGCTCACACTGAGTTGCTCTTGCCAATCACGTCGGGGTCACCAATGTATACCACGTAATCTGAGGTGGTATCAATGTCTGTATTTGCTTACTTTGTTACACTGACTATTAGGCACATAAACCAATAATCAGGTAGTTAAGATGAAAGGCTTGCAGGCACATAAACCGCTAGCCAAGTAAGTAAATAATTTTTATTTTGTTTCTACAGTGGTTAAAAGGCACATCTACCAATAACCAATTTTTGATTGTGAAGTAAAGACGATTGTTTTCGCTTTTAAGTTTTATTATTAATATTGTTACCTTATATAGTATAGAATTACTTACTAAGCATAATAATAATTACAATTATTGGTGACTAAAATAATGATTTAAATTTCACATATTGCTGCATAAGCATAAATACAATATGTGAAGTTATTGAACTTATAAACGTAAATATTTACAATATTTATTTGCTGCATAAGCGTGATTACAAGCGAGCTAAAATATGTTAGGTTTGTTAAACTTAACAACCTTGAAGATGGCATTAGCAACAAATACTCATGTTGAGTTAGTTAAAACTCAAAAAGATCTTTTAGATACGGTAGATGAAATAGAGAAGAAAGCTTCTGAAATAAATACCAGACAACGCAAAATTGAGTTAATAGAAGAATTAAATAAAATTCAGACTAA